GCAGTTACAGCAAACCCCTACCGCCCACCATGAAAGCTGGAACGCCCAATAGTGGGTGGTAGGGACCAGGTTGACTACCACTGGTTTAGAGCCGAGGTGGCGCAGTGGGTAGAGTGCAGTACTGCAGGCCACTTCAACTGACTGTTATCTGCAGTTCAACGGTTCAAATCTCACCGGCTCAGGGTTGACTCAGCCTTCCATCCTTCCGAGGTGGGTGAAATGAGGACCCAGACTGTAGGGGGCGATATGCTGACTCTGTAAACCGCTTAGAGAGGGCTGAAAGCCCTATGAAGCGGTATATAAGTCTAACTGCTATTGCTATTGCTAATGTATTACCTGGGAAGATGGCGGACTACACATTCTAAGCAGGCAGAATACACCTGATGGATGTTATAGAAATGAATACAGGTTGTTGAACAAATGAACTTAGAATTGCCCTCCATTCGTATGACATATTCCGTCTTCATCATACTTCATTTATTTGAAATACAAGTAGTTTTCAACTTACATCCATTCATTTTAGTTCAGTTACAGTGCCACTGAAAAAGTGACTTAGTCCTCATGCTTAGGACCGTCACAACACCCCCATGGTCATGTGATCTAAATTCAGGTCCCTGGCAACTAGCATGTATTTATAAGAGATGCACCATTCTATGGTCATGTGATCGTCTTTTGTGAGTTTCCCAGCCAGCTTCCAACAAGCAAAGTCAATGGGGGAAGCCTGGTTCATTTAACAGCTGCACAAATCATCCAGCACAGTGCTTCGCTTAACAACTGTAGCAAAAAGGTTGTAAAATTGGGGGCCAACTCACTGAAAAACTGTCTCGCTTAACCACAGAAATTCTAGTCCCAATTGTGGTCATAAATCAAGATCTACCCGTAACATTCCTGTTCCCACATTACTCACCACACCAAAGCTGAAGATATCAATAGCAGTAGAAAGCATCCCAGTCCGGACGTACTCAGGAGGTAGATAGGCCAATGTACCCCGCACGGTCTGGGTCTGGCCCAGTGAACTGCTTATCCCTCCCTGCTTTGGTCGGCGGCTGAACCGTGCCAATCCAAAATCAGCCAGCCGTGGATTGAGTGCTGCATCCAAGAGGATGTTAGAGCTGTATAAGACAGGAAAAGGAGGTTTTTGTCACTTACAGCAATAGCAGTTAGACTTAGATACCACTTCATAGGGCTTTCAGCCCTCTCTAAGCGGTTTACAGAGTCAGCATATTGCCCCCAACAACAATCCGGCTCCTCATTTTACCCACCTCGGAA